ACACAATATTCTTTAAATAATTACATAATTCGAACATAAATTTTGCCCAAAAAAAGGAAGCTAAACGACAAAAAAATGGAGTTATGGTCCCCGTGCCCACCCCCTGGATCAGCCAATGATTTCGACTGTGATTCTGGATGCGAGGCATTTGTTGCTCTTGACTCGCATAAGATTCCCAATCCGCGATCTGCGAGGCCAAGGCGTCGCCTCGTGTCGAAAACTACCTCTCACGAGTCCGGGCGCAACGCACCACGTGGCATTTGGACCGGTGGGTCGCCAGCTGCAGCATCGCCACCGCCCGGGCGAGGCCACGGCGCAGGCGGCCTTGGAGCCGGTGGCGCCGGACGTCGAACCTGCGGCCCGCGGACAAAGGGACAAAGGGAGGCGGCTTCGCTGCACTCGGATGCGAGGGGGCGTATACCGAATGCATCGCGCGGTCGAAATTTCCTATGCCGTTTACCTGAGGGTTGACAACCGTCCTACATTTGGGAGGACAGTCCTCCATTGGCGTCAATTGTTCTCTCGTCCTCCTTTGTGTTTTTAATGTCCTTTAAGTAATTTTTCAACATTTCTTGTAACTTATTTTATCACACGACTAACATCTGCTACGTTGTATCGTTGGTTGTTAAATTTACAATAGAAAACATAAATATTATTTTTCTGATCGCTGACACACTCGTGCACGATAGTCTTTGTCTAGCGGCTAAAATAGTCGCTCAGACCATCGTCATCTGAATTTTGTGAACGAATCTTTACGCTTGAATCACAAATAGAGGAAGAAACTTGATTTTGTCTAAATAAAATATTTATAAAAATGTGTTCAGTGTTTTTGCTTGTCGAGTGTCCTCACTTTTACACGAACATTATTGGCAACCCTTGCTTGGCGTAGCTGCCTACCCAAAACGGCAAAGCTCCCCTGCTTCTCATTCTGTTTACCTCCTTTGTGAAAGGATTGATTTACAGGTTTACCTTGTAGTAGTAGTAGTAGTAATATTATATTTATTATAATTCACTGTCTGTTTTCAATAAACATTTGCATGACCTTTTAGGGCACAGACAACGTTGAAAACCACAACTTAATAGTTTGTGAAAACAAAACTTGAAACCTATCTCGAGCATCACTGACTAACATATAAAATTCCGAAGGGTCTGCTATGCTCACCTATGTTTAAGGTATTTTTTCTGGACTAGAGAGAGGACAGAACACCTACTTGCCCAACTAATGAAAGCAAACATATCACAAATTTTTAATCCTTTCAAAACTCCAGATGAAAGAGCGGCAGAGGCTGCAAACGCCAGTGAGCTTCCCTTTTCTGGTATGAATAGTGATTGTCGTAGTTTTCAAATTGTTCGTCGTTCAGCAAATAGCAACCATCCCATCCACACTACTCGAGATGCGGTCGCTCGCTACTCGCCAAAAACCGAATGTGTGAAGCCGTCTTTGGAAGTGTTCACACTTGCTCTCGCGAAGCTGAGTTTGTCGAAGTTTCGGTGTCCGGAATCCTACGAGAGATTTTGTTACCATGAAACGGAAGTAAAAAAAAAAAAAATGTGCTCGTCGTTCGTCGGACGTAGCACTTCATCCGTAACGCTAACAAAGTATTCACACAGGAAAGCTCGAATAGGAACATCAATGTAACAGGAAATAATACACGTAAGTTGCGCAACATTTGGAACAGTGCCATATAAAGTTCAGGACACTTAATTTAAATCCTGAAGCAAACTATTATTTCCAGAAGTTCGCAGACGCAACAAGAGCGTCAAAATTTGCAGTGAAATGCAATGAACTAAAATTTGCAGTCGTTAATAAGTTGGGACCATAGATATTGGCGCACGAAATAATTTAAAAAATATCTCTTTAATGAATTAGAATTGGCTTTTGATGAAAAATTAAAGCATTTCTGTTCTAGTGTCCGCTAACTTTTAATTGCAGTCGTAGATTTTTTACGTTATGAACGATGATCTGGCTGTATCAGAATAAATAATACTAACTCTTTACAATGGATATCCTTCATTTCATGTTTGATAAAAATGTCCTTTGAGCCATTCATTAAATAACTTCTGGTTTCAAAGATAATTTTTTTTATTTAATTTTATTTAACGCCAAAAACGATTAAAAACTTTGTGTGACGTACAATGAGGAGAAATATATTTTGCGCACGTTTTCTTAAATTCTGGTGTCCGTGCCTTAATCCATATAAAAGTTTCACTCTGAATACAATTGGAAATAAGCATTTTTGATAAGAATGATGAAAAAAGGCCGCTCTGCAAGTTTTTATATACATCCGCAGTGAACTACTGGTTCATTTTTACAGCTAATTATAATTTTAATAACATTTATTTCTAGTTAGTGTAATAGCTAAACTGTCTTCTTGGGTCCCCACCTTACCAATTTAATTAATCTTTGGAGTTAGTGGCAATAAAGTTACTATTGTATTAAACTTGTTAGTCTATTATGATTTATCATTCTTATGACTTCTTAAATTGGCACTTTTAAATTATAGTTTCAATGTACAATAATATTTCTTTTATTAATAGTATTTATTGCATTAGTAATTTTGCGTTGGTGATACAGGTACATTGGTCGTGATACAGGTACATTGGTCCTCTCCCCTGATGTTATGTCTACGATGAGCTTTCTTAATACCCTAAGTACAGATCAGTGTGGGAAGCACCACATTGCACCCTGCCCCCTTGCATAAAACTCGGCCCTTAACAGCGGGGTTGGAGTTCCAAGGCGGAGCGGAGGGGCGAGAGAGTGAAGACCTCGAGCGGGGACAGAGGATGACGACGGCGGCGGCGGAGGCGGGAGGTCAGCGACGGCCCCTGGCCCTCGGGCCAACGGCCGAGGACTCGCCAGAGGTCGCGACGCGCATGATCTTTGACCGGGAGATAAAGAACGAATGAGAAAAGAGCGGAAGGGGTGGAAGAATCAGAGTACGAGAATATACCGAACGCGATGTGTCCTACGGGTAACCTGCGTGTGTCGTAGGACCTTCCGTTATTCGTGGTACTACATCTTCCCGTTGAGCATTGGGGGCAAGCGGGGTGCCAGTCGACGCCTGTGTCTGCTCTTTGGAAACTTACTTCTTTGTTAGATTACTATCGACAAGAGTTTTGCCTTATCCTTACCCTATCTTTCTATGATGTCCTGGAAGAATTTGTATAAGGAGAGTTTTGGAAGATTTGAAGGCACAAACAGTGGTTAAACTTTATAGCACTACCCTGGAGAAATTGAAATAGTTTCTTCACAATATAACATGAGTAGTGATGCTTTTATCCGTTTGACTATATTTTAAATTAATTTACAAAGCTCGCAGAAGAAGACTGACTATACAGTCTGCGGTCATGGAGATATGTGTCGATTGTTTCGTTAGATATCCCAAAACTTGGGGAAAATGTAAAAACAATGAAACAGTTTCGTTTTTGACTTAAAATTAAAATAATTGTTCTCATATTGCACACTGTCTGCATTCGCATAATGAAGTCTGACCCTACTTAATACAGTTGTCTTCATCCGACAGCAGGGCTCCACGGAAGAGACCGCCCACCATTAAATGTTTGCTGTTAACGTCTTATGGAACGGTTTAAATGATATGTTATTTCGGTATTAATGATGTTTTTTATTTCAATTGAATTTATTGCAGTGGTAAGTTTTTCTTAAGCAGTGCTGCTGCGTGCTGCTTTATGGAAAACCAATTTGTGTGGTTTTGTTCGCCATTCGTGCAACTGCCGGCCGCTAGTAATTTTGAAATGAAAAAAGTGTAAAATGAATAAGAGTATTTTAAGATACTCTTCTCCTTCAGGTGTTTAGCGCCACTCGCGAGGTATCCATTTTAAAACCACGTTTTTAAACTCTTATATTATATGCAGATGACATTATGTTAATACAAGACACTGAAAATAAAATGCAGATAGCTCCATTCAGACTGAGCCAAATTGCAAAATATTCTTGAAATTATTAAAGAAAAGATACAACTAACGCATACTAACGAAATCGCTCAGCAAAGAAAAAAAAGTAATAAAAGAAACAGTAATTTGACAAGTGCAATACATAAAATGTCTAGCTGGTCTCTTCTCGTTTGGTATTCGCGTATCTCTATTCTCGTATTTGTGGTTCAATACAAAGATACATAAAAAATAGGACAAGCAGATAAACGAAGTGTGTTATTAGAGTATTACTATGAATACAGTTGTTGAACCAGTGTTAAATATGTGGAAACGAAAGAAGAGTAAATCAAAAAAGATAACTCCAGATTCCAGGCAGCAGAAATAAAATTCATGGGAAGCACTCTCGGTATTCTAGATAAACAAAAAAATATTAAAATAAGAAAGAAATACAGGACCCCGCCAACTTCTAAAGACTAAAATATTATCTTGAAAACTTCTGACCATAGTACAGAAATTCCGCATAGAACAGCCCAGCAGCGCGTTATTTCCTTATTGAACGATAATTAAATTAGTCATCGGAAGTACTAGTATTATAGTCTTTGTTTACCGAATTTAGCATTTAATATTCAGGTTCTAATTAATGTGGTTGATTTGACTAGATACTTTCCTTACTAAACGAACAATAAAATTGAAAAAACTGACGTAACAAACCTTCAGTTCATACTCAAATGAAAAAGTTCTTAAGAATCACTCAATGTAAATTAACTGTGCTTGTATAAACTTTGTTCATACATTTCGTAATACTTCATTACTTCATGTATTGTGAAATCTTATGTAATAATGTGATCACTAATGACCTTAAAGTTAATGCGCCCCTAATGAATAAACAAATTTAAAACTTCACTTCACTCGCGTGCTATTGATATAATTGTTTTTTTGTTGCTAAGTTCCTCGTTTCATGTTGTAGCAAAACTACCAAAACTTGGTTAATGTTTTCTTCCACCTGGGTAATGTTTATTTAAGCTCGTTTTCACTGAGATTAGGAGTGAAAGCTGTGGCAAGGAATTGTTTTATAGTCCCCGTTCTTTCTCCAACGAACTTCTTCGGCAATGGATAACTGTGAATGGAGCGAGTTCTGTGAACAAAACTTCGCAGTAGACAGTGAGGACAGTGATGATCCTTCCATAAATCCCTTGCGGCGCAAGATGAAGAAAAAGACAATCCAGGACACTTTTAACTGCTGCTTGTTATTCGGAGGATTGTGGTCAATGGTAATAAATATATTTTTCGAATAGTACCAGAAACTAGAGGCCCGCGTTCATACTCGGGGTAAATATTACTATAGGTAATGTAAAAATTGCCCATTAGGTGCCTCATACGTCTTAATCATTCGACCTTGCAATTAACTGTTGAAGCGTTTCCTATTCTGTGAGGTTCACATGGTCATCGAAATTCAAAAGCTTTTTTTTTTTTATTCTATATGCAATGGATTAAACTTGGTCGTCGATCTGATTATCGTAATTCATATTACAGTAAATATTTGTTCACAGTTAAGTTTGGCTATCAAGCGGGTTGCGAGGTGTAGTGGTCATAGTTTTTTTAAATTAAATTTTAGAAAAAAATTAATTGGAAACTTCTGTATGCTTGTAGTTTAATTCAAATTTATTTTCTAAAAGTTGTCGTTCTCGTAAACTAAAGTCTTGCTCAGGAATGACGTAACTTTTTATTTCAATATTTGACCCTCGTTTGATATGTAACTTAATTACGAAATTGGGGTTGTCATTTCAAAGTAATAATCTTCTCCAGATCGCGAACTAATAAACATATTAAGAAATGGATGCATTTAAAGTTGTTTTTTAGTATTTACTACTTACCGGAAACTAATGTTTAGCGAACCAGAACTATGTATATAAGTTGTAAATCATTTGATAATTGAAAAATGTTGCTTATTTTTCCTTGTATTGCCGAGTCCGTTGCATGGAATGTTACTATATACAAACCAGAGAATGAGCGAGTCCAGAAAAAGGCAAGTGCTTGCTACACGGGCCACTGACCGACGTAACCGCCGGCAAATGGCCCACAATGTTCTAAGCGAAATCTTATGACAAAGAATTAAAGTTTTTAGACATAGAAATTTATATTTTTGAAATTGTTGTATGTGGTCTCTTTGAGGGAAAGAGCAACTTTTAATGGTAAACTAGAAGTCGCTGGTCGGGATGTTGGTCGCCACTAAGGGTCTCAATTGCATTGAACGTATGGAAAAATAATTCCATTCCCCAAAATACTGTTCGGGGAGAGTTATGTTAAAGAGAGTGGTCGTGAAGTGGGATTTGACGTTAGTAGTTAATTAAAACCCATTTAAATATAATATTAAAATTTTACAGCTTTAGAGTTGGTGTTGCATTTTCTTCTCGGACACACTTCTTTTCAGAACGATCACAATAGGCATACTCAAAATAAATCTAAGAAATGAGACTTGTTCAATGCCAACAGCACTGTCCATCAGGTGATAAAAAAAGATAATCCCCACAAAGGAGAAAAGCTCAATACATAACGCCACGAGCAGAGCAATGGATAAATAAACCTTGTCGAATAGGTGCCGCGCAGCTGTTGCGGTTCTTGTTCGTCTGGGCCAAAGGACCAGAAGGACCATGAAGGACTTCTAGACGCGCGTCCGAAGGCTAATCATTACATAAGACATCCACATTATCGTACTAGTAGGGTTTGATTTCTGGCGAAACGCGACAGAACGTGGTTCCTGTACTAAGAAAATAATTATTAAATTGTTATAAATAACTACTATTAAATTAATGATTACTTTGGAGCGCGTTCCGCGACCTCAACTTATATAAATAACCCAAGTTACTAGTATTTCTGAAAGTTTTTATATTTTTTAAATTTTTTTTTAATGCGGTCGAGAATCTTGCAGCCTTTATTCAAGAAAAAAATTGTTGTTAGGCTTCTAATTCGTAAAGGAAAAAATATTTTGGAACCACTAGTCGACCTACCTACTATAGGCTCTCACAAAGTCTTCTACATGCGGGATGAAAAAGACTCAAAATTCCTCTAATTCAAATATTGGGAAATCCCCAACTAGGTTCCCTTATAAGATTATTTTGCTGCAGGTAGTTTCAACGTACTGGACAATGCAAATGGTAAAGTAAAGAACAGACCCTTTATGAACTTAAGTCTGTCAGAACTGTGTACTTTTAATCAGGATGAACCTCTCTATTAAAATAGTATGTAAATGAATACAAAAACAACTGAAGCATTATGTAAAAGCAACTAAAAAAAGATTCCCAGTTAGGGATTGATTTTTAAAAATCTTCAGAGAAAAAAAATATTTTTGAAAATTGTGCAAATGCATACTCTTCCAGTTGCTATATTAATTACTGCCAACTGAAACACTTAATGCTTTTATTTTGTCAGATTTCAATCATACAAACCCATGTGAGTGGCATGAGAAAGTCAGCAAATACTACAAAACTTGTATTATTCTACAGCACTCCACGAAGGCCATGAGCAATAAGTGTGGAAGCTTCACCAAAGGTTTTTGCTGTAAATTTTGTTTGATTTTCTTTCTCTTCCAGGACAAGATCTCAATTCATGACAAATACTATTTACATATTTTTGAGAGAGATTACTCTGTACAATACACAGAGAATACATTTTATTGTAACATTCTTGATTTAGCGTTGGTTGTTTTTGCAAATTTGCTGTTCCTATAAAACAAAGAATCTAATAAAGAAAAAACTAAGCAGTCTTAAAGCTGGCATATGAACAAAAGTTATTTTTGTTGTTTCTTCTGTTTCAGATTTCCGGGATTGTGATAATCTCAGTAGGAGCTGTGGTTCAAGCCACATATCACAAATATGAGCCAATCCTTGATGACAGCTTCTTTTCTGTACCAGCTCTTCTCATTGCAACTGGCTCCATTATCCTTATTATCTCCTTCTTTGGATGCTGCGGTGCTGTTAAGGAGAACCATTGCATGACTATTACCGTAAGAAATCTATACTGTGATTATTTATTTAGTTCATTTATTTGAGTATTTATTTGTTAATTTACTCTTGAAGATAAACCTATTGCTTATTTATTGATTTGAGCATTCATTTCATCACAAACTAATAGCATCATTTGCAAATTGTTTAAAAAATTCAGTTAGTACTATATTAAATATTATAAATATTTGACATTATAATTCTATTATTTACAAGTTGCACTTTGTAGAGATACATTTTCAATAGACTTTCCCTTCCCTGTCTCAAAACGTTACTTAAAACATGACTTTAAGATCTGTTAATATTAAACAATAATAATCCATTATCAATAGAAATAACTGGCACATTGAATGACAATTTATAAAGAGTGTAGTATTGTGTGAGTTAGTTTACATAACAGTACTAACATTGTCAGGCAATAACTTTGCCTTTTAATCACAATAGAGGTTGCATTTTATAAGTTAATTTAATGTGATATAAATTCAATACATAACATTACCATAACTTACAAAAGTTTATTTTTAACTAATGAAATAAAATGCTGCGTTCTCAGTTTTCAGTGTTGTTGGTGTTGATATTCATTTTGGAGCTGGCAGCAGGCATTGCAGGATATGTTCTGAGAAATCGTGCAGAGGATGTACTACAGACACACTTGATGGAAACTATGAACCAGTATGTAGAAAATACTGAATACACTTCTCTATGGGATGGTATGCAACGTGAGGTAGGTTACATTCAGAGCTCAATGCTCTGTGGACTTTTATTTAAATTAATTTTTTGGGAAGTGTATGTATTTCCTTTTTTTTGTTTTTAAAACCCAACATTTTTTCCCAAATTGTAAGAAGGGACAAAGGTTAGTAAAACTTACTTCACTTAAATTTGAAATGGTCCTCATCCCTACCACTACCACTACCACTGAATAGAAAAGAACTAAAAAGAGAACTGAACCTTAAATAAAGTAAAAAAGTTCCCCAAAAAACTAATTTTCAAATTTGAGGCAAAAGAGACATAATGTGAGGTCTAAGGCCTCTGACCTCTGATACCAAGAATCTATTTTGAAGGTCCTATGCATGTTTCCCCATTCCAAATTTTATAGAGGTGAGGAAGGGAGAACTGAAAATAGCAGATTTAGTTTATCAGGAATCTCCTCCCAATATATAAATAAAAAAGCGCTTCTTAAAATCTTAGTTGAAATTTTTTTAAATTTATTTATTTGCATCTAAACAGACAATTGCCCAATATTACAGGTTTATACAATATTTATAATTTGATACTGAAAATAACGAACGTATAAAAATACATTTTATTTGTAATCGCACAGACTAAGTGTCTGTTTAATTAACAAATTGACTAACAGAGATACAATTTATGTCAATATCACAGTATTTATAGTTTATATTATTATATTATTATATTATTATAGTATTTATAGTATGCGCTGTATAGGAGAATAATAACCCAAATTAGTTCTCGCGGATGAGATAAAAAATGTATCATTTTGATTAAATCTGGAGTTACGCAACAGTATTTTCCAATTGATCAAACATAATAGTTCGCTACTGTCAATATCGTGATTTAATAATTTGATTAGAAATAAGATGTTACATTTTCTATGGGATACAAGAGAACTAATTTGAAGATATAGTGAAATTTTGCTGTAATCATGGTTTAATCTTGGTGGTATTAATTTAAGAAACCAAGCTGCTAAATTAAAAAAATTATGTTGTACTGATTCAATTCTTTTTGTATACATCATAAAGGGCCAGTTTTGTGAAGAGTATATAAGTATTAGTCACACTAATGTTTCATACAAAGTTCTAATTGTAGAAGGGTCTCTAAAGTCAGTTCCAGTTCTCATAATAAATCCTAACATATGATTAGCTTTATGTACAATATTATCTGCATGTCTATCAAATCTCATTATTGGATCAAAAATAACTCAAAGATCTTTTATTTCATTGACAGACTAGAGTATCACACCAATAGAATACTCATGGTCAACTATATTTCTGTGTTTTGTGAATTTCATCACTTTGCACTTGTTAATATTAAAGTTTAATTGAGTAGATTTACTCCAATTTATAAGACTATTCTAGCACTCCTGTAGCTGTTTGCAATCATTAATGGAATTTCTCTATAGATATTTAAGTCATCAGCAAATAATAAAAACATGCAATTTGAAATAAATAATTTCACATCATTAATAAACAACAAAAACAAAAGGTCTCAAGTGAGAACTATGGGGTACTCCTGATGGTACAGTTATGTCATGGGATAAGAATGATAAATGGTTAACATACAAGTGTTGTAAGATTAATAAATTATGTGATTTATTTATTACGTCCAAAGCTATGTTGTTCCTCTATAAGATTGTTTAATTTTTCAGTTATTTGTTTAGTTATAATGGACTCAAGAAGTTTAGGAATAACTAATTATAGATATAGGTCTGTAATTTTTTAAATTTGATTGGTTCTGAGATTTATATATTTTAGTTAAATAACTTTTTTTCCCAAATTGGAGGAGAAGGGTACCTTCATTCAGAGATTTTACAAAAAGTACATGAAGAATTGGTGTTAAGTTGGGATTACAAGAGTTTAATATTCTCACTGGTATTGAATTTGCCCAACACCTTTCTTAACGTCCAATTTATTTATGGATAAGTGTACATCATTTTGGGTTATCTCAATGTTACCACTACTGAAGGCCGAAGCGTGATCAACGTAATTGATATTACTAGATCAACATTATCATTACTATACACGGATTTGAAGTAATCAGCAAAATATCTACTGTTTTTTGAGGGGTGGTAGCTGTTTCGTTGTTGTCGAAAATATAATTTGGAATACAATTGGTTTCTTTTATTATTAGTAAATTTCTAGAGTGACTTTATATTAGATGGAATAGAATTTTCAATATTTATCATATAATTATCATAATCAAAATGAGATTTTGATTTACATTTTTTGTGTAATTCAGAAAATTTACTATAATCTAATGCATCATCTGTAAATTTGTATTTGGAGTGAGCTTTAGACTTTTTTTAACAGTAATTTCAATTCTTTAGAGTACCAAGGAGGGTATTAATGAGATACATTTTGGGTCCATGTTTTTCGATCAGTTCATTAATAAAGTTACAAAAATAATCAACACGTGATGGAATGAGTTAATTTCAAAATTTCTACTACATTCAAATGATTATAAGTCTTTGCTAATTGACATAATCTGCGAGGTTATAATTGTATTTCTTGACTAACGTATCGAGTGTCGCGTAGGTTCAATATTTATCATAAGTTCCAGTGCCGAATGATAGTAATCACAAGGAAAATTTTCATTAATTTTTGTATTTAATTTATTGAAGTTCATAACGTGCAAGTGGGAGATTAAAAAATGGGAGTTCCTGCAAAGATGGCAGTGGCGGTTAGAGCAATACTGCTGGGATTTAGTGTGCTCATTTTACTGGATGTCCTTCAAAAAAGCTGTAGGAGATGTATCCTCCCTCTGCCAGGCTCGTGTGGTCCAAGATCAGGGAAAGGGATGCCATTTAGCAAAAATTTGAAAGATACTAACCCAAATTCATTTGGAGACAAAATTAAGGACAGATCACTCTACATTAAGAGCAACAGTTCTTAATCTGATCTGTTATTGTCACTTTTGATGCCACATTTTAACTTTTTCTTAGTGTTTAAACAATAACAATTTTTATTTATTTATTAATGTTAGAAGAAAAGAAGTTAAATTTTAATTTTTTAAATGCAAAGAAATAATTGCTTTGAAAATTATAAAAATATGTTTGAATTTAGTTACTCCAAAATGTATAACAAAAAGTGATGTACACACATTCAATTGCATGCAGTGTCTTCTATGCAAGTTAGTTACCTCATTCACTGCTTATTATTCACTACAAGCTTATTATTTTATTTATTTTCACCTCCTTAATTCTTTCACATTTTTTATTCTCAACCTGTCGACAGTGCAATTACACTGGGAATGGGTACAATTGCCTTAGTGTATTCTCATTCAAGATGAGCAAAAAATCCTCTGTATATTAACTTGCAGAGCTCCTAATGTTCAGTGTGTTGGGCGAGATACTTCGGTGCGTAGTCGATTGCATATTTCATCAGGGAATATTTGCGCTTCCAGAAATTCAGGAAAGTATTTGTATTTCAGTATAACAAATTTAAAAAATGAGTAATTATCATATAATTATTCATCAGTTTTAGGCAAAAGTATTAAAATAGGCATTAATTGTCCTTTTAGGGCATTTTAGGTAATATTACATGCGTTCAGTTGATCTATTTTTTCACAATTCATAAGCATCTGCAATTATTTTCCACAACCTCCTGAACTAATGGGCATTTGTCCTAAAATCGGAGGCCTACTTATCAGCAACTAGTTTTCCTTACTAGGCTTGCACCAATACTTAAGAAGTGGGTAAAATATTTGGTTTGGCAATCATCATGATTGAGTAGATGATTTCCTCAGCATTTATATTTAATAAAGTAAAAAAGTAGAATGTATGTTGTGGAAAATGGATGCTGAAAATAAAATGGTTATCCAAAAGTGATTAGATTCAAGCCTTATTTTATGGAGTTTGACCATTTTTATGCATCTCGACTTTTCTTTTTTCAGTTTGAGTGCTGTGGTGTTAAAAACGCCTCTGATTGGAATGTCGTTTTTCACAACGAGAGTTTGCCCACTTCCTGCTGCTTTGGCTTGCCTGGGTCTGTTGGTGGAATGAATTGTACTTCAACAGATGTAAATAATGTACATTCGGAAGGTTGTTTGGTCAGAATGGGCGAATTCATTACAAACAATGCAGTGGCTTTGGGTGGTGTGGGAATAGGTATTGCTGTAGTGCAGGTAAGATAATTTCCTTAATTGTTGGTTTATCAGTTCAAAAGTAAAGTGACCATTATAAAAAAAAAAAAAATTCAATTCAAGTGAAGAAATCTCTTAAACAAGTTATAAGAATAGTTCGTAAGACAGCTGATATAGAGTGAAATCTTCATCTGTGTATGTGAAATAGTCTCTGCTAAAGTTAAAACCATTCTCAACAAAATCGCAACTTTTGAAATGGTCCCTTTTCTCCTATACCAATAAAAAATTTAAAAAAATGTATTTTTCTACAATCTGAGCCAACTGATGGAAATTCGTGTTTAAACTGATACATTTTTTTTATTTTTATAAGCTAGTTTAAAGCAAATAGAAGTTCAAAGTTTTGTATAAGTATGTGAGCTTTCTTTACAAAGTCAGAGTACAAAGTGTAAATAGTTGGTAAATTGAGGTTTAAATGTTAAAGGAAAATTTATTAATTTTCAAATCCGTTGACGTTGGGATTTAAAATTGTCTATTATTTTTGGTAAAACAATAAAAAAAAATGGACCAAAAGTAAAGACCACTTAAACACATGAATTTTGAAATGTACAGAAATTGTTTTTACTCAATTACCATAATTGAATAGTTATAATAAAAGTTGCAAACAAGACATTCAATATATTGTAATTGTTCTACATAATTTTTATGGTATCAAATTGAATGCATGAGGGTAGGAAGAAGAAATGGTAAATGATACAGAATATAATTGGGTAATATTTCACATATTTATTGCAAATAAATATCAAATTCACAAATAAGTGTGGGGATAATTTGTTCAGAGACTTTGAACTCTCCTTTAAATGCATTAATGAACATCAATAAATGTTGCTTAATTAGAAAAAACTGTTCAATCATAAATTTCTTATTCAATCTAATAGTTCAGAACTCCTTACTTGGGGCAAAAATAATTCCACACAGTATGTTAATATTTTTTTGATTAGTTATGTTAATGTAACTAAAAGACAGAAGTAGTATACTGTTACATTTGAAATTTGTTCTATAAATGTTTTTTTTTTTTTTTGTTGCAGTTCTTGGGAATTGTGTTAGCATGCTGTCTGGCTCGATCCATACGTCAACATTATGAAACTGTCTAGCTGCAGGCCCCAGTGCACTGGAGGCGGAGGTCTCGAGAGAGACCAAGAGATTGTTACAGTGTACGAGATCGTGTTTGTAACACTTGAATACTACGTGAATATTGATTGTGCGTATAAATATATTTTACCAAGATTCATATACAATGTGATTGTTTCTGCATATAAGGAAGAAACTCTGTCCAAGTTTTTTGAGAGATGTTAAAGGTAGAGTAGTTTTATATCGAAATTAGTATGAAGGAAATGGATGGGCTTGAGAAGAGTGCCATGTTAATAAACTACTGCTCAGTGGGCTTGTATCTCATCATGAAAGGAGAAAATAAATCAAGACAGTGTTCTACTTGTAAAAAATTTTTTCATATTCCTGATCTACATTCTACATAAACAAAAATTCAATAGAAAACAAAGTGTAAAAACTGAAGAATATTGTATATTAGGAAATTCTAGGTCAAATAAAAATATTTTTGTCATATTTTTTAAGAAATTGTCTTAGGAAATTTATCTGTGATGGATTTCCTTGTATTTGTAATTCAGTAAGTTTGCTTGAGAAATCTAGAGTTCAAATACTAATTGTCCTAAGTGTTGCCTGAATCCTCTGTAGGTAGTACGCTTTTTGTAATTGGGACATAAGTACTACTTCAGGCATCACATTTGACATCTATAATCATTGTTAGTGTGACGTTGCCTTTGAATATTGTAATTTGGTGTACTGCAAGCAGGGCAGACCAAAGCCAAGTAAAAACGTTTAATCAAACAGTTTGCTGGGAGCGTTCAAAAGTATTTCGATCTTGCTGCAAATACATTGAAAAATAGTGGGTCTGGTTAGTCCTGCTTCAGAAGATCTTTACACAGTTAAAAATGTTAGATTAAGATGTTTCTATAAAGTTAAGAATTGGTTTGATTTCTTTCTTCCTTTTTTTAACTGAATTAAGAAAATTTTTATAGTGTTGTTTTAGAATAGAATTTGAGAAGTTAAAAAACAGGTCAGTTATTTCATGGGAATTAAATTATAATTTTGTGGAGGGAGAATGAAACAGTTTTGGAAAGATGTAACGAAAAAAAACCACTGCTTATAAACAAATCTGAGTAAAAGTATCAAATTCTTTATTTCCTTTTAGCTTTCATAGAGAATTAAATGTGAATAATAATAAGTCCTACATTATTTCATTAAAATATGAACAACATAAATTATGTAATTAAAGTGTAATCTGAAATGACAGTGTAGTTATTGAACATAGACTTTAAGACACTCTTGTATTGTACTTGTCTAGTTCTATGAAATTACAGATACATAACATGCTTGAAGACTACTATTAATAAAAGTATGTTTTGATCATGGAATGATGAGAGTACAGTTTTTGTAAATTAAACAAAGAACAGTTTATCAGTAACAATCAGCTAATATCAATGTGCTAAAACCAATTTCTCAAGATCCTATAATGCAATTTTTAGTAGACTAAACCAGTGATGACTGAATAGGTTTAATCAAATGATGACTGTTGTTTACAATTATATAGGTAAAGAGCATTATACAGGCACACCACTGACTGTTAATGTTTGTAAAAGAGAAGCAATAAAATAATTAACTCGACATCATCAGGAATGAAATTCTATTCAGATCTTTAGTGGCAACTTTGATTTTGATTTAAAGGAATGCTTCACCCTTTTTTCATTCAACCAAAATATTTCAAAAATATGAAAATTAACACAAGTAAAATATTCCAAATATGCATATTTTAAGAGCATGGTTTTGTTATATATTTAATTTAAAAGTTTATAGTATGCTTGAAGAACCATGTACACTGTCTTTTGAAAGCCTCTTCCATGTCAGATCCCAATGTTGAAAATACAACAATGCTCTAAAGGAAAATTCTCACACAAAAGTGTGCGAAATGCTGTACAGACTTGTTTCAGACTTCAGTGTTTGGAGATTGGTTTTAAAATAATTTATCTATTGAATCTTTATAAAAAAAATTTGTATACATTTAATTCTAAATAAAATACAGCAAATGAATAACACTTATTATATAGTTTTGCAATTTGATGTCATACAACAGACCATTTGAAGTTAAAATAAGGTGAATATAAATTTACAACAAAATAAAAGTATAAAATATAACACAATTATGTAATAAAATATGGGCATAGGAGAGGATTGGGCAGATGTTGGTATTGTAGGCTTGAATTTTCTTGGGAATTGGAATTGAAGGATTTGAGGTTGATAGCTAGAGGGTGTTGGTTATTCTGTTGTTTTTGGTGATGTTAAGGATGTGATGGGCCCAAAGTAGTCTGTGGGAAAGGGTGATGCCGAGGAATTTAATGTGGGGCTGCCAGGGGATGGGATGTTGTTTATTGTAAGGAGAGGAGAGTTTGATGGGTAGGTTTTATTCGAATAGAATGACTTGGGATTTGGAGAGGTAAATGGTAATTGAATTTTGGGAAGCCCAGAGGTAAAGGGAATTTCAGGTTTTGGGGTTTGTTAGGGAAAGGGATAATTTACGGTAGGAAGCGAGGATGATAAGGTCGTCGGCATACAGGAATCTCTGTACTCCAGGGGTGCGAGGGTTCTCATTGATGTACATGGAGAATAGAAGTGGGCAGAGCACGGCGCCTGTGGGAAGCCGGCTTGGATGGGGTTGTTGGGGGATTCCTTGGATTGATAACGGACATCAAAGGATCGGTGGGTTAGGTAACTTTGGAGTAGAGAGCGGATATGGTTTGGGACGTAGGGGCGGATTTTCATTAATAGGATTGTGTGGGAGACTGTATCCTATGCTTGTGTTCGGTCACGATGGTAGGGATTTCTTTTTGGTTTTGGAGAGGGGTGACTATTGACTGGGTTAGGTTAAGGGTGTGGAGTTACGCAGAGCGTCCCTCACGGATTCCGAATTGAAAAGTGTTAAGAATTGGGTCAATGACTAGGGTAAGGCGAAGGAGGATTACTTTTTCAAAAAATTTACTCAGGAAGGGGAGGAGGGTAATGGGTCTGTAGTTTGAGGAACGCCGATGATCGTTGCCGGGTTTGGGTTTCATGGGCACACGGGCGGATTCCCAGGGAAGTTGGATGGGAAGTAGGATAGTTTGACGCAGAAATTTAGTAGGAGGGTGAGAAGCTCTATGGCGCTCTTAGGGACGTTACGGAGTTGGGTGGAAAGGAATTCGGGTCCGGGGGATTTGGTGCATTCCGTCTTTGTCAGGAGTTGCTGAATTTGAACGTCGTTCGTCGTCCAGGTCGTTTTCTGATGGGGTGGTATGACTGGGGTTCTGTGGTAGGGGAGAAGAACATTGCCAGAGATCGGGGTGTCACGGGGAAGGTAATGGTCTGCTTTGGGCAAAGGTGTATGCTATGATTTGAGGGTCAAAGGTTAAGATGTTGGGGTCAGCGAGAAGAGGGGAAATTCGGGTAGGGGTACTTCATGAATTACTATATGAAGTTCGTTGGGTCTGCTTTTGTCTTTTAGTACGTCATGTTTGTCTCGTAGGATCGTAGCATATTGTTCTCGTCTTTGTTTTAGTAGCGATTTTTCGTCTTCATATCTATATTAATAGTATTTTCTTTGTATTTTTAGTCTAATTGTCTGTATTATGTCGTTGGAGTGATGGGTGGAGGTTTTTGGTGTACATAGTTGTTCTTCTTTAAGCATGGAGGATTTGGTGGTTAGGGTGTGACTCTGCTCAAAATATTTTCCTGGGTAGAGGGCCGGGTTGACAGGACAAGTTTGAGAAGAGATCAGCAAGAATGAGAGTGGCAAAAGTTTTAATCAGATAGCGTTCGTATGTATTTCCATAGACCATCTATTTTCGATTCACAGTGTCTCATTGTTGGATGGAGATCTTATCTAGAAATGAGAAGGAAAGCATCTCGTCTCCGAGATGCCCTCCGACTGGATCACAGAATGGAAACATGCCCTCCGACGGGGCGAGCCACCTTCCTGAAAGCTCCGAGCTGACAGCCCTCGACACCATATCATCTTACTGATGCCTTCCGACGTATAGGATGTTTACTTACCACAGTGTCGGAGCTTGACAACTTTGGGCCCCTGACAACGCTGAAACGTACCCGCTCCCACTACTCCCCGAAAAAAACTAAAAATTTGAAAGTTGTATCACGAAATTGAGTTATTTTATTTTAACAAATAAAAATTAAAACGTTGAAGCTAGAAAAAGTTTTCGAAATATATTTTAAATAATAGTTTAAGTAAAAGTATTTAGTAATCAAATTTTATTTCCACGGTGTTTAACGCTAAAAAATAGTTTAGTTAGTGTTCAATAAAACTACTTGTAAAATACATGAAATAATAAATATGAATTTCAGTAGAATCCATTTTAATGATAGCGTCATTTGATTCATTTCGTTGAGTCCTACCTTATAAGTAATATCTGTAATTAACTATTTAAGGTAAATCATTACTTGAAAATGTCATGAAATATCAGAGTACTGTTCTTCAATTTACACAATTACTCGAGTTCTAATTTCTTTTTCAATTTTTTATTAATATTTTCCCATTAGTCCCATCATCGGGTGCATTGACTTGCGGGGCCCTGGGCGATCACCCGGTCTGCCCTTGTCCAGCGCCGGCACTGTTACCAAATGCGTACGCCGCAAAGAGCTAACGAAGGTGGAGGTGGCGGCTAATAAAAATAATTTTAAAAAAACACACTCGCTGTTGCAAAATTCAAGCGCGCTCATGTCAAACGACTATCACTGGATTCGTTTAGCATGTATTACGTTTCGTAACATCGCTCCCTAAATAGCGATGGCAAACCCAAATGTAAGTGGATCGCAAAATATGCTTGCTTTGAAATATAATATTGTATTATTCTTCGATTCTACTCATTTTAACATGTAATACAGTTTATTCTCCTAGTCTAAACACGCAATGCTGAAAAATTATATATATAAAAATCGAATATTGACAAATACGTTGAATTGAAGTAATCTCTAGCTCCAATAATACAGATTTAGTTACAGGGCCCATAAATTCGAACTTCGCAAGTTATTTAACGCAATGCAACATAACGCCACTAGAGGTGCTACAGAATGGCACAGATTTTCTCGTACACGTGAATCAGTGAGTCGGTCCAACGCATACTTTCCAACATTTTCGAAGCAATTTCGGAGCGGTTTTAGAGGTAAAAACAAATTTTCTAGCTGTGTACACAAGAGCGATGAAAAGTCGGGAAATTAAGTGTTTTTCAGTTTTTGTTGGGTCGTGTACTCTTATTTTCTTTTAAATGCTTCAAACCGTATCTTGCTACGATTATTAGCTTTGGAGAAAATAGTATTTTTCGAAGTGAGTGTCCATTTTAAGCCCTTAATGTTGCCCCTAGGATCTTAAGATGTATTTCCCCCGAATTGGGAATTTTCAGCACATTCATCCACTTCAAACATCATAAATAAACTGGTGGTGCTACAGAATGGCGCAGACTTTCCCATATTAGTTTTCTAGCCTTAGGCGCTAGTAGTGTTTACAGACACAAGACAGTCGGATGGACAGACGGACGCTCTGACAGACATTTTGGAAAAAGAAAAACAAAAATACTTTTTTGGTATAAGGGGATCCCAAAACTTGTATTTCCGTCGAAATCTCGAAATCGATTTTCTGCAACATTACATAACTTTCCCTATACTACGTGTATTACTCCTTTATGCGTACGTATATGGAAAAGTAAAATCTATTAAAGAAAATTTATAACTATTTTAGCTGTATGTAACGCATAAAATTATCTAGTGAATGAACTAGAATGCTGTAATCTGTACTAAACATTTTCCGTTTTATGAATTGAAATGTCCAGACAAAATTTTACAACAATTGTTTCTCAAATAAACAAGTCCTTACTTATTAGTTTTCACAGTATCTCTACCATTTTAGTTCTTTCACTAAATATATCAATTGTGAATAATTTAAAAACAGAATTATCAAAGTATATCAATTTGTTGAAGTTATGTTTAAAATAAAAATCTGCAATTTGTCGATTATTTATAAACAAATTAATTTTTTTTTTAAATATGTGATCTCTAAATTCATAAAGAAATCAAATGTATGCACAAAGGAAAATAAAGAATTGTAGAATTGTAGAATTTTGGAAAAGAAGAATTGTAGAATTTTTCTTGGGTAGATAGCTACTTTAATATTTCTTACAATCGCAAAACCTTCAACCTAAAAATACGCCCTCTTTTAATTGGGCTCGCCCGCATTTCGGTCCTGAACGTTACGCCACTGATCATGGATTTAGTTGGAACCAATTCCTGAATTCTGGATACAATCTGTCCCGGCGATCGGATGTACTGAACCTGGCTGACGGAAGTCGCGTGCCATTGCCATAGGCTCCAAACATTCCAAGGGTCATCACATATCTCAGAGTACTTCAGTACAGACGAACATTCGAGGGACGAAACGTGTTTCTGGTGTCAAATAGGATATTGTAAAAACAATAAGTCCACTGATACTTGTTCTCGGTGCGGAACAACAGTTGGCAATAGTCAAATGTGGCGACATATAAAAGGTTTGACTTATAAGTCAAAATTATATATATATATATATATATATATATATATATATATATATATATAATTTACTTAAAACAATGTTTTCATTACCCTAAAATGTATTATAAGAATTATAACAAAGGTTTCTCACAAAAAACAAAAACAAAAGAAATATTCAAGCTTTTTGACTGATCGCCGTCATTGTAGGTAGAATAGCAATGCCGTCTTTCTAGTGTTAAAATACTTAATCCTAAAAGACCGCGATGAGATTTTGCTGCGGTCGAGAGGACCCCAAGGGGCTCAGAACTTCCGCCGGACAGCGCGCTGGACTGACGCCTGCAGCTTCCGGGATACACCTGCGCAACCGGAAACATGCTCGACGCGCATCCTGGCGTGGGATGCGGCATTTGGCGGCGACGCGAGCCGCACCGAACCATCGCTCTCGATCGACGAAATCCCTTCCGTTACAATACACAAGGAAACCTCACTGTGCGTGCATTCATAAGACACCATCGACACAAAATCCTGTATGTGTGTGCTACGGTTGGATAGCAAATTACCCACTCTCCGATTGGATTTGACATGAAACATGTAGAATTTCGTAAATTATGACTCAGAAAATACAGCAGGAGTTCATGCAATCCGCCACTCATGTTACGTTATAACGCACATTACTATCATGCATAGCTCGCAATCGTCGCATCCTAGACCCTTAAAATCCAGTTTTCGAGTCCAACAAGATGCAGGGTTTGCTTCTAATCTGCAGCAATGTTCAAAATGAGATGTTTTTGGATATACTATTTCATTTTATGGGGAGTACTCAGTGGTACTAGTTGGCAGAAAGGTTGGAAATTGGTTCAAGAATCAATATACTACTCGCATTTACAATACATTTTAAAAGTGCTGGTCCAACTATATTTAATTTTTTTAATGTCAAAACTGTAAAAATCTTTACCTACGAGAGAAAAGTTACATTTAATGATCATAACTGAAGCAAACCGTAAATGTTTGAAGAAACGTCAATGATGAACAAAAAAAGTTTTACAACCAGAGTCGAAGTCTGCAGGTTCGAATCTCTCGTGGGTACGGCATGTGTGGTTTCATAATGTGTTTCTGTGTTGGTTAGATTTTCCTTACCATCAAGTATCTCATCCAAACATCATCCCATTCATAATTATTCATCAGACGTCATTATTAATATCTCATTATTACCCTACCAGGAACCGTGATTAATTCAATACCAAATTTCAAGTAATTCCAAAGCAGCTGTCAGGGAAAGGGAAGGAAAACTGAAAAATAACTCATTTCGAATTTCTCGACGCCACAGAGACCAAACGTGCTCTAAAAATTCCAAAATACCGGTTTGATTCTCACTGCATGTGCAGGCGTATCGTCCCAGAATCTTCACACTTTTTTTCGCGATAGTGGTCTTGGAACCTCTTTTATCACAGCATTCTCTCATGTTTGTTTTTTTTGTCGTTGTTATACTTACTTCCTGGATGTCTTTTACCACTTCTTTTAGTAGCGGAATTACAATTTTAATATCTGTTTTTCTGATCGAAATAAATTTGGATTTACAGAATGCAAACGTAATGTATATGATAAATCAAAATTTTATTTTCAATGGCAATATTAATTGGTTTTTATTGTCTAATTTGAAAAATTAAAAAAAATTATTTGTCAATCCAAGGGAAGACAACATCAACTATTTGTTATGACTCCTTAGGTGCTTTATCATAGGTACTCTGTCATGCATTTCCATGCCCAATTTTTTCCATCTCTTTCCTACTAGCGACGCCAGTACATATTGTAATATTTTCAACCAGTTGAAGTACTTTACGTTGTCGGGTGTTTATTTACGACACAAATCTATTCGACAAGAAAAATAATTCAATAGATATAGTATAGTGTATCCCTGGCTCTGCTTATCCCACGTCCCGCCACCCCGTCCCGCCCTCCCAACAAACTCGCATCTCCCTTCCTTGCTCCAGCTCGCCGTGTCCTCTTCGCCCAATTATGTTTGCTACGATTGTGGTTGCTTCCGCAGCTTTAAAAAGATGCATTGTTGCATGCTGCAGGCAAATCTTAATTTCGACCTTTAATTTATCAAAATGCAATTGCTCCATTGTAAATAATTCACATGTATTTGGAGGAACGTTCCATTCAGAACGGGATTTCAGAAACATGTTACTTACTTCAGTGGAGTTCTCGCTGTTTTCGAGACATTCGCGAAAATTGAAAGACCGCGCCCTTAAATTTCGCTTTAAGGGATAAGAAAGAGGGAGGAAGGGCTAGTTTTTACGAAAACGCATGTATACACTAAGATTTATCTTGTTTTAAAGGTACTAGAACACAGTTATATTACGGTCGGTACAATTGTAGATTTGTGCAAACAGTCTTCTTTATAACTTATAGAGAATAATGTAAAAAGTAGCCCATATTGTTGCTATTACCGTTCACTACAAACACCTATCGAAATCGGTTCGATCGTTCTAGAGATGAGCGCGAACAGAAAGAAAAGATATAAAAACAACTGGACAGTAAATGAAAACCGTGCTAGGTGCCAAAAATTGACTCCCAAGAAAATTAAGAAATAGTGTTTGAAAAGCTCGCGGGACTTAACTGATGCGCAGTCAAGTGGTGACAATTTAAACCCCTAAGGATGAGAATTTCAGGTAGCCCATTTCACACCGCAATGCGCTTGACACTTACCACGCTTTTCAGCCCAAAATGCAAGTTTTCACATTTTGGCACCTAACTCGGGTTTCATTTATGCTCTACATTTGAACGAGTGTTTATATCAGGGTTGTCCAACTGGCGGCACACGGACCGCACGCGTTCTGAAGGGCCATTTATTATGGCACGCGAAAGATTATTAGTCAATGCTGAATGCCCCTATCATCTATGACGGGCGCCTATAACATTGTAGCGCACGCGCCCTGCCGTGATCAACACAACTTTTAATGATGGAATAGGTTGTTTTCAGAGAAGCCGGATAAACTGCCAACATAAACAGTATGGGGAACTCAAATATGGGTCTCCCGAGTTCTGCAAATATGTCCGCAACCAAGTTGAAGGATTTAGTTGTGGCGCTTGAGACGTTGCAAGTTGGACACTCCTGGTTTATATCACGCAAACTATGACATGCATAACTCTGAGGTTTTTAAATGCTAAAAGTTGTTCTGAAAGCACAGACTCTTTCAATTTTATTTGTATATGCACCCGTATCTGGACGCAAGGGACTGCCAGATGTCGGTGAGTGCCTGAAATTCAAAACCAGGAAATAGAATAGGGTAGCGAGACCCAAGGTCATCACACGGACAGTGGGTCACACTGGGTCGAAAACCGTGCGCCAAGGGTTTTTTTTATACATTGATTAGAGATTCGGGTGCGTCAACTGCTAAGGTTCCGTATGTGTAGATCATGCTTTTTTCCTCGGGAGGTAACGGTGTTTTTCCCTGCAAGATGGTCAGATCCGGAGGATAGCAGTGTTTCCCCTACTAGGTATCTCCCACCAGCAGGACACCGCCCTAAACGGGACAAGCTGTTCCGACCGGCCTCCCACCCTGTGTATTAGTGCAGTGCATGCAAGTGTGCGTAAGTAAGGGATGAGGATAGGACAAGGAAAGGAAGGATCGCGCGCGGTCCGTGGCCCGTTTGTTAGGGTACTGCTCCAGCATTCGTCTGCTGTTGATCGGAGAAACCACGGAAAATTACCGATCAGAGCAGCCGGTCTCTAGAATTCTCCTCCGGACCGCGGCTAAATTTGACGTAGCTATCTAGTCGCAAATACCACAGTCGGAACTCGAACCTGGGACCCCCCGGTCGGTGTCATCAGTTGATACCCTGAGTCAGCTCTCCAGGTAAGCGCCGAGGGCGTCACTCACATTGTCAAGCGGCGAATTAGCCTTTTCCTCCAGGGAGGAATACTCATCGTTTTAATTTGTTTAAATTAACTGTGTATGTAATGAGTACTATATACGTATGTGACCTTCGATTGTTCCGACGTGTCGACTGTTATAAAGCTGCCAGTATGTCCAATATCCAATGCAACTGGACCATTAAACATTCTGCCTTCTTATTCACATTGAAGAATAAAAGTAAGGGACCGACGAATTGCGATCATCACCCGACTGCCGATCCCACTGTCCTCGCCTCTCACTGTGATTCACCAAGCTCACATGATTTACTTGGGTGCGTAGGTGCAGGGCCGGACTATACATGGACTCTCCTCCAACCAAGATCGAATTTGTTTTCCGTCGACTCGTGGGGGAAACGAATCTCTCTACACACCGTACTGTCACTGTCTTTAAATATCTGAAGCAAGTAATTTTAATATTTGATAGTACTAATTCTTTTTTATATTTTTAACTTATTTATAATTAATATTCCAATAATCCAAATACAGATTGAATTAAATATATTTAAGAAGCAGTAATCTAATAAATAAATTAAGAATTACCTTTCGTATTTATGAAGTAAAATCATTTGAAAATTTATTGGGTTAAATTGTAACTATTATATAACTTTCATCTGGGGCCCCCTCTGAAGTTGGGTCCCTAGGCAACTGCGATTTTATTTGTTTTGATAATAATCCAAAAATATTTTTGCTTGAAAGTGTCGAGGCAAGTTAAAATTAGTAGTTACAGAAAATTTTTTGTAGGGGGGGGGTCTCTCATTTCACTTCCTGTGAACCCGCGCCTGATTTAAGCATTTCTCTCGTGGAGACCTCGTCGAGTATTGAGTGGACCCGTCTGTGCGCCGCGCTCGAACGCGCTTACGTAGCCCATATCGACAGCGCACGTGACAAACGCAGCCCACGGCCTCCTGGCACTGCCACTGCCTCGGCCGCCAGCGCCGCCGCGGCCTCCTAGCTAACTGCTGCCAACCCGACTGCGTAGAATAACGCGCGCGCGCGCGCTTGTGTCAGCGTGACGCGCGTCCTCGCTGCGGATCGCAGGTGCCGAGTAGTCGCTCTCCTGCGCGGAGAAGGCCGACGCTGCCAGCAGGACCTTCGCGTGATATCGGGCGCGTTATCGTGTGCGCGATAAGAGCCGAATCGCGGCTGGCGGGGGCGTCGCTGGCTGGGCGCAGTGCGCGAGAGAAGTGCCGAGCTGAAGCCGCTGCTGCTGACTGCTCTTCGTGTGACGAGCGGGGAAAAAACATCGGCCGCCATGGCGCAGACGAGGGACCTCAACGCGGGCATGCGTTGCATCAAGTACATGTTGTTTGTGTTCAACCTACTGTTTGCGGTGAGTGACGGATGCCCGTCCCCGACGATTGACTAACTTTGGTTGACATCAGACGAGTGGGTGGTGAAGGTTCGAATGGCATCCACTGAAGCAGTGAGGGAAACTACCCTGGCAGTGTTTTCGCAACATATTATTTTTTATGCATTGGTACTTTTTTGAGTCGCGTTAGTGTTTGAGATCGTTTTTGATGGTTGTTCTCGACCGGTCTTTCGTGGAAATTCTTCATTTCTACGAATCCTGCGTGAAAGGTGTCCAGTCTAACTGATTCCAACTGCATCTGTTTGGCACCTGTTCTACCTTCTTTAAAAAAAAACTTCAGAAAAATCCATCTTAAAGCATTGTTTTAATCAAAGTATAAATTTCTAGCTTGTTTTGAAAAATGAGTGTATTTTTGAAAAAATGTCATTTCATTGGCTTTTAACACACGTCACACAATGAAACACGTCAAACTGTTCGCGTTAATTCAGATCTTAAAACTTGCAGATAACAGCATCTGACAATAGGAGTAGACACTTTCAGATACTTTAGTTCATACGTTTGTATGAATTTATCAATCATAGACACTTATGTAAAGTAAAAGAGCGTAAATGTACATGGGCGGATCCAGAGACCAATTTTTTGGAGGCGAGGACGGAACCGTACATTAAACATTAATAAAGACAACAATGAAAACTATTACATTTAATAAACTTTACATTTTAAAAATATTTCATTTAATATATTTCGTAAGTAGTTTATGTTTTTAATTTGAAAAAAATTTAAATTAGTTAATAAAGTCATTGATTTCAAAATTGCAAAACGCTCAACATGTAAGATAATACATTTTTCATTCAATTATACAGATGTCAACAAACAGAATTCAAATAAGAAAGCATATTATCAATTAACAAATTAAAAATGTTTTATAATCCCGAATCAACAATCTATTACCTTTCTAGTCTTTTGGACTTTTAAAATATAAAAATTGACCTGCTGCGGCAAAAATGCTGCTGAACAACACCACACAAAATAGTCCTCCAAAACGTAGCACCCAGAGTCGTGCACGGCAAGGAAAATATTTTCATTTAAATCAATAATAATGTAACGTTTCTCCTGGTGAATTGAAACCAACTCAATATTTAAACAATTACGTTTATTCGGGAACAATCATACACCAAATATACTTGGTCTATTTACAAATATATTACAATTATTTATTTTTCTTTACACACGATTCCGTTCTCTTGATGATTTATTTACACAGTTCACTCCTTACACACTTTATTTACACAGTTCTTTTCTTCTGTATCAGCCAGTCCGATGCTCTGTCCACGGTCCACTGCACTTGACCCAATTCCCTGCGCAGACCACACTTCACTGCGCACACCAGGGTCCACTGCACTGCTGTTTACCGCGATGCCCACTTCACAGCTCAGCTTCCACTGCAGACTTCAAACTGCTGACTGCTGTTTCCCCACTGCACCACTGCTTACCGCGATGCACCCTTCACAGCTCAGCTTCCACTGCAGACTTCAGACTGCTGACTGCTGTTCAACCGCTGCACCACTCTTCACCGCAATGCACATTTCACAGCACAGCTTCCACTTCGGACACGCTGACGGACTGACTGCTTCTCTGCCACTCACTGACGCCTTACTACCCACTGACTTCTACTCACGTCTTCTACTAACTTCTACTAACTGACTCGCGGCCGCCGACAGCGGCGCATTTATACCTGCCCGGCGCTTGTGTCCAGGCACCCGGCATATTCTCGGCGTTTCCCGCGGCTCGCGGATAGTCCGGAACCGTCTAGTTCGGGGGGCAGGGAAGGGGCGCCGGCAGATGACGCAATCCACGCGCAGCGAATTCGGTAGGTGACGCAATATTCGTAACAATAATTTAAATATTTTAACAAAAACGTACTTCAAGAATATTACATTAACGTCATGTAATATAAACGGACACACTACAACAGGTTTTTATCCACAAAAAAATATTTTAAAAAAGTTGTTCTATTACGTGAATAGCTAATAATGGCGGGCGGCCTCTTCCTTGGTGTCATATGATGTGTCTTATTGTCGTATGCCGTCAGCTGTGTCGTAAGCAGTGGCGCGGTGAATGTAAGAATTCAGTCGATATGCGCAGTATGATAATAGGAGGAATTAAGCAATAAAGTGATTGCATTTTTCTGTCAAAATACAAACTGTTTCTTTGTTCTGGGATGTCCCTCAAAATTGTAGACCCTTCTTAAAAAGCCGGCGGATGCGTACTTTTTTTTCAACTTCCGCGCACATTAGAAATTACTAATCTAGATTCTAGTTTTCCGTTTTCGAAATTCGGCCTACCACTTCCTCTGACTTCAGCCAGAGTGGAATCATAATACGTCAATCCGAATAACTTTTTTCTCAAACATTCTTATTCCAAATCAAGTATTAAAAATACAAGGTAAGGACGCTCAGCACTTGAATTTAGGAGAGGTAAAGTACTGAGATTGAGACTTTGGTGGAGACTATTAATATTTGGCGGTAAAAACACACAGACACACACTCGCACACAAGCACGCACACACACAATGTGCCAATTTGCCGAAGTGTAATTTCCCCCTAAGTTTTAAAATTTAGCCATCTAGGCTCCCTTCCAGTAATTTACCTAATCTTTGGATACGGCAATTCATAAGTTCTTTAACTTGCGCGGAATTCAAGAGAATCTCCACGTGAAATCACAACAAAGAGCGGAAATCAGCCTTTGTTTCCTTTTTGCGAAATACATTTAGGAGTAATGACCTGCCAATGGCCATTGTTTGAGATGCTACCATTCCTAAGAACGCATTTTTTTCCGTAATCGCTTGCGAACATTTCTGTTGATGGTCGGAATATGCCTCATATTTCGTGTATAAAGCGAAAATATCATTCAACAAATTAAATTGGTTCGGTTTAAAGTTGTATCATAAAATTTTTTTTCTTGTCAAAAAGGGTTTTTTCAAGAAATCAATAATTAGAAAAACATATCAAAAAAACATCTATTTCTTTTTATTGGTGATTACAATCAATTACCAGGGGTTAATAAGGTAGAATAATGACAACATTACCCACAGTACCCACAGAAACTGATAATTTGTGGTATCCCTAAATGTTTGAGCAGCAAAGTAGTAAAGCATGTAAAGAATGCGATTTTTAAAAAAGGAACTTATATTGTTTTTCCCAAGAGGTCTTCAAATGTAAACTGAACTATTCAGAATATTAACATATTATAAAAATGAATCTATCGATAACTAACGAGGACGAAAAATGCCATAAAAGAATTATTTCAAAATTCGTAATCGTGTATTAAGCGCATTACCGCTCGGTCGAAAAATATCTAACATTTAAAGAAATCAGGAAAGAAGCACTAGTGTGGGCAACTGCCGAAAGTAGTAGAAATTTTATTAATTTTGTTTGTTTTATTTAAACATCTGTCCGTAGGTTTTTTCTCGAGTTCAATGTTGTATGTGCAGTAATACATAGGGTTACCAGATCGTCAAGATAGAAAAAGGACATTTAAGTATATTTAAGACAAAAACAGTTAATTTGTCGTTTGTCACGAAAGAGAATCTTTTATTTAACCGGCCTGTATAGCCGAAGTCGTTAACACTGAAGGGTTGCGGGTTCTAATCCCGCCTCGCGTATGGGTGCTTGTGTGTTTGTGTTCTCCCCACAGTTAAAAAATAACTGTGGTCTCTGTATGATCAACATGTTGAAAAGCGACCTAAAAAACAAAACAAAAAACCTTGTTATTTTACATTTCGTGATTTGTATTTTTCTAGTAATGTACATTCATTCTTTATTCTTCATTCTCTAGACAGGTTGAGTTTTAAAACTAGTGGTGCTAAAATGGCACGTACTTTCTTGCATCAGTATCAGCTACGTAAAATTATAATACCGTAATTTCTGTCCGTATTAACACATTACAGACAGCATTTCTAAAACTCTTTACTAATCGTGGCGCATTAGGAGAGAAAACTTAATTCATGTAAAGCTAATACATCAACACAAATTCGATCATCCGTAACTCCGTTCCATTCATCCAGAAACACCGCCCAACAATGAGAAGTTCTTCGGAGAAATTCAAACTACCTTATCACGGCGTTTCCATAGTATATTGAAGGCTGATAAATCCCGAAAAATACTGTAAGACTGTACCAAACATCAAAAAGGACAGTAATTGTAATTTTAACAGTGATATTTAATGCACCAGTATTATTTACCATTCGGACTATATAATTCTAAACAACCTGTAACTAGTATTGTACCTCAGCTTCTGAATTAATGACCCCCATCTCTATCAGGTTTTTCCATGCTGAGATGGCCTCTTGTTTTGCTTTTGAACATAAATATAGCTTCATTATCTGGGCACTTCTTCTAGACCAGTCGGAAATATAGTTAATCAAATTATTGATCCTCATGTTGTAGCGGCAGGAAGTATTATTCCCTCACGAAGGATACGATGAAGGATAAGGGTTATAGTCTAGAGCTGATTTACCCTTTATTACTTCGGTGCAAATATTTTTTAACAAGCCCTGCAACAAATTCTCATTTCTTTCTTTATTTAAAATTTATTTTGTCTATGGCTTGTGGTAGAAATCCCAGAATTGGGAAGACGTTCAAGTCACTTCTCCCCGAGCAAGTCACGTACAGGTTTTAACTGATTTTGACGAAAAATAAAATAAAAAATAAATGGAGGGTCAGATACAATTTCGTAAATAAACCCATGAGACCTACAGGTATGTATTTTGAAGAACTTCGTATCTGTCAAATAATTTCTGAATCTTTGATTCAGATTACTAGCAGCACCTCTGTGATAAGATATTGAATGAATTATCAACAACAAACACCTTGAGTTCCAATACATAAAACTGTGGAATATTTATTTGGAAAATTATTGTACTGCAATTTTCAAGACACTTTATTGAATGGTTTACAGAATTAAGGAAGAAAAAGATAGAGTACTCTATTGAGGAAAAAAATTCAAAAGAGGCTACCTTT